CCCTTGCTCACGCAGGTGGGCGGCAATTAGGACTAGGCGGCGTGTGGCGGTTTCCGCGCGTCTCCGGGGTCAGGGCGTCAGCTCGGACTAGGTGCTGCGGTCGCGCATGAGCCGGGGCCCAGCTGCTGGGGCCGGCAGGACCCCTGGCGGACACCTGCCCCGGGGTGGGTAGGAGCCCAGGTTGCTCGGCTCCCGGCTCCCGGCTCCCGGCTGCGCAGCGGCACTCCACTCTCCCCACCCCAGGAGGCGCTGTTTGTCAAACTTGGCTGGAGGCGCCTGCACGTTCTCACTTGGAAGCTGAGCCTTCTCCGGTACTGGGGGTCGGGCTTCAGGAATCTTAGCCGTACAGAATAAATATTAGGGGGAGGAGGCAGTGCAGAGAACAGGGGTCTGGGGCCCTTCAGTTTTTGCTTTTTACCCGTGAACCCAACAGGGCATCCTTCCTTCCAGCGCAGGGCAGAGGCGCCCGTTGGTTCGCCCCATGTGCCAGGGCGAGTTGCCCAGTAACTTGCCTCCGAGGACAGGCGGCGTGCGCGGCCTGTCTTGGGCTCTGCCGCCAGATGCCTCCTGAGGCCCCGCGGCTGGCATCTCCGCGCCGAGAGGGCGAAGGCGCCCTCTCTGGGCCTGAGTAACCCACCCAAACCTGACCGGGCTCCCTTTGTGCGCGACTTAGGTTGGGATGGCCCTTACTTCTCGGTTTCCCCCGGCCCACGGGCAAGCGTGACCCCGTGGCGCAAGATGGAACTTGGAGAGCACTCAGAGGCCGCGTCACCACCCGTGGTGGGCAGGCTTTGCCAGTGCGTGCTGTTTCCTCCCTATCCCGCAGTTCCCGGGATTTTCTAGGTGCGTCTCTCCCGGCCCCTCTGGCCTCCTTCCCACTGGGGCCCAGGGTCAGTCTGGCTGTCTCTTTTCGTGTTCTTTCCCCGGCCCCTGCCTGTGCTTGGCCCGCGATTCTGACTCCAGGCTTGAGCAGGGCTAGAGGCCCGGAGGCCGGCACGGTCTGAGCGTGACCCCCAGGCGCGGAGGACGTGGGGGCGGGCCGCGCCTGCAGCTCAGCACTGGCGGCTGGCACACGAACTGCCGGCCTTTCGTGCATTGGCTTTCACCCTTTACCGAAGGCTCCAAGTGACATGGCCAGGCAGCTTGGGCCTGTGGCCATGGGCCCTCTGAGGGTGCTGCGTCCGTCCAGTCGAGCCCGCGCACCCCCTGAAACTCCAGGGGACTTGGCTTCCAGGAACTCTCGGCCCAGGCTTCTCAACGCCGGAAATGCAGTTTATTACTCTTTGGAAGGATGTTAGGGAGGTAGGCGGGTGCCCTGGGCTAAGCCTCGATCAAGAAGGGGGCATTCACCCGGTGCCCTGGGTGCTAGGCCCGTGCCGACACCGCGGCAGGCCTCGCGCCCTGGGACTCCAACTTGGCAGAAGTTTCTGGGTGGGGGTGGTTTGGAGTCCGGTACCAGCCCAGGTCCCCGTCTCTGGGCCTTGCACCAGGCACCAGTGGAGGATCTGAGGCTGAGGAGGGGTGAGGGGGAAGTTTCCTCCCCACGCGCGCCGAATAGCTCCCTTCACGGGTGGGTAGTGGGTACTGGCGGAGGACGTTGGCACGCGCGGTGGCTCGGGCACTGAGTGGCTGGGCAAGGAGGCCAGGGTGAGCCTGGGTGAGGCTCCTGGGAGGTTAGAGCCCTGGCTAGACTTCAGCCAGGTTTTTTGATAGTGCCAAGGATCAGTGGCCCAAGCGCCGCCAGGGCCTTGCGCCCTGCGCGGGGCACGCCGCTCCCAGAGCCGGGCGCCAGGGGCGGCGGGCGCTGTCTCTTTAAGGTCACTGCCTGCTCCGGCACGACATGGGGAGGACAGCTGGGCACTGGCCATCTGACTGACTCCGGCTTGACATCTGGGAGCCCACTGGTGTGTGGCACGCGAAGCGCTTGATGCCGCTATTTAAATGCAAATGTGAGGGGGCTCATTGAAGCCTCTCCCCGTAAATCCGCACAAAAGGAATACTTCCCACCCTCCGAGGAGGAGGCGGCGGCGGCAGCTCTAGGGCCACCCGTGCAAATCGCGTTGGGCGCGGGGCCCTGAGCGGTCGCCGCAGCCGTCGCGGCCCGCGGGGTCCCCGGCAAAGGTCAGGCTCCGCCCAGTCCGGCCCCTGGACGCGGGTCTGGCCCCTGGGAGTGCTCTGTGCACCGAGGTTAGACCTCCGGCCGCCGTGGGCCTGCAAAACTTCCAAAGTAGCAGCCTGTTTCTCCTCCTCTCCCTTCTCCTGGGTACCCAGCGCCCCGCGTTCCCCCAGAAAGGGCGAGGGGTGGGGGCAAGGCTCCCTCCGGAGGCGGCCGGGCGCCGGAACGCGCTCCCAGCGTTACTCAGGACACTCGGGGTTTGACCTGCAGCCCTCTTCCCCGTCCCTGGCCTGGCTGCGGTGTCCCTTGCTCCCCTCTGCTGCTGCTCCTGCCCCATCAAGTCGAAAATCTGAGGGTGGGATGGGGTGGGGGCCCAGGGGGTACCCTCCCGGGCCGCTCCGCAGCAGGCCGGGGTGGAGACCCTGCCCGGTCGGCGAGTCCCTGTGCCCACAGCTCGGAGCCAGCAGCGGAGTGACAAAAAAGATAAAGTTGGTGAATGATAAAGACCGTATTTTCCACGCTTTGGGTGCGGGACCAGATGATCTAGAAAATGAGCTGAAATGGATTCAGCCTCCGAGCCTGTTGTGAGAGCAGCTGATTCCCCCATTTCGGGCCAGATGGCTGCTGAACACAGATTTGCATTCATTTTCGCTTAATATCGTCCAAAATAGTGGGGCAGCTGCATTTGTTGTCAAAAAGGTTTAAAACCCCTTTTCTTTCTGGGGCAGGATCGTTACCTTATGTGATGGGCTTATAGAACTTTTTTTTCCTCTTTAGTCAACAGTATCAGATTTAGAAGGATTTGTTTTTAAACCTTCTAATTTGGTAATCAGATTTAAATCGCCTTGGCGCGTGTAATCTGAATTAAAGATACTGTAAATGATTTTAAGCATGATACTTTCGTTAGCGCAAGGAAGGGGCACAGGCTGGACATTTTAGGAAGTGTGCTATAAAGGAAGCATTGTTTCCTATTTCCAACTTCATCTTTCCCGAAAAGGCACTTTGCATATTCTGACAATAACGCTTGCCTGGCCGCTGGCCCTGCGTGAGCCCCCGAAGCAGCTAAACACGCAGAGACAAAGCGTTTCTCAAACCCACCCTCCCCCGATGGCCAACTTTATTTTGCGTTGTTTCTCCACGAAGAAAGTGTTCCCTACTACACAAGGGTCTGCCGAGAGTGGAAAGCGCTGGGCTTATTAGGAATACAGAAATTTTCTTTTAATTTATCATGAATAGTTTCCATACACTTTGATTTAAGGTTATTAACATTCTATAGACAGTGGCATCTTTAATATGTGGCGATCGCTTCTAAAGACTAATCTCATTACCCTCAAATAGTCATAAAATATGATTTTATTATACTTACGTATTTAATTAGACGGCCGGCACCGTAATGGATTTTGAGATGGGACTGGCGCAACAGCTTTGATAATTCACTTATCTTTGGCAATAGTCATTAACCCCCAACACCAGCAAAATAGATCTCTTTCCAACACATCTTTTTTCTCACTCCTTCCAAGAGGCGTGGGGGTCCCCAGATAACGTGAATCGGACTTCGATTTTCCCGATTAATTAAAATATTAACGTACACACGCTGCCAATTCACGGGAAAAGGGAGTGCTGCCCCAGACCCGGCGGGAGGAGGCTGCCCTGCGACACACTTGCGCCCTGCAATCTTTTTTATTTTTTAATCAAAAGGGCCTGATTTCTCTTGGCAGGGAAGTGCCTGGGACAGTTCCTGGTCGTCCCCTGGGTCTCTGCTCCGTGTCGCGCAGACGTCCTTTGGGCGGGCCGCGCGCCTGGGCGCGGAGTCCCGGCTGCAGGAGCTGGGCCGCGGGGCCCACAGGCTGCCCGCGCCCGGCTGCCCTCCTGATTCCTAGAAACCAGGTCGGGAAGCCGCGCGCCGCGCGCTCACCCGGGTCCGGCGGTTCTGAGGGCCAGGCCACAGAGCCCGCGGCGTCCGCTCGGTTTTTGGAGCACTTGGCTCCAGGGCGGTCTGGCCACCGCGCAGGTCGCGCAGCCAGACACCCGGCTCCGGGTCGCCGGAGAGGCCGGGCGCGCTTCCCGTCGGCCCGGAGAGACCAGAGCCTTCTTTGTCACTCGCTGTGCGTTAAGAACAGGCCAGGGACCGGGGTCTGCCGCGGCCACCGGGGGAGAGGGAGCTTTTAGCAGAACCTGCCTCCGACGTGGATTCCCTGCCCGGCACTCGGCGGCCTCCGCCGGGGTAGGAAGCTTGGGGTGTCCGGCGGGGCTCAGAAGGGGACTGGCCGGCCCTGCAGCAGCCTTAGGTCTGCTTAGAAATCAGGCTGAGCTGCGCGCCCAGCCTTGGCCGGGGAGCCCTGGGCACCCCTCCTCCCAGTCCGTTGCCCGCTCCTCCCTCCGGCGCCCTCCCTGCGGTTGATCTGCCTCTTCCCACTTCTCCTTCGGGCGGCCCCAGGCAGAGCTGCAGCCCCTTGCATTTATTGCATGCATCTGGGCAACTTGGGGCGCTTCGGCATTTTACAGCCCCCCGCCCCGCCCATCGTGTTTGACTGTGTGGCAGGTTTTGCAGGCAGGTATTAAGGGGCCAAGCTGCAGTTGTGCAGCGGCTGCGTTTGTTTCTTTTCAAGATTTATTTGGGCGAGTAGTAACTTCCTTGGCCGCGGCTGGGCGCGAGGAGCCGCGGTGCGTGGCGGGGGGCGGCGGCGGCGCTCGGTGGCGCTCGGCGGCGGCGAGGCTCGCGGGGCTCGCGGGGCTCGGGCCGGCTCGCGGCGCCGTCAGGCAGTCAGTCGGCGAGCGCGGCGGCGGCGGCGGCGGCGAGGGGCGCGGCGAGGGGCGGCCGCTCCCATATATGGCGCAGGCACCGCCCCCCGACGTCACCCTCTGACAGCGCCGCTCCCGGGGGCTTCGAGTTTTGGCTCCCGGGAAAGGGTCCATTCCTCGGGGAGAGAGGGCTGAGTTTTGTGCGCCTCCGTCCGCTGCGCGCGCCGCTCCAGGCCCCGCCGCGCCCCGCCTGCGCCCGGGACTGCGCCGCAGCACTCACTGCCCCGTTTATTTGTCTTTGGAGCAGGCGGGCCGCGCCAGAAGCGGGCGATCCCGCAGTGTCCTGCAGCCGCGGACGCCGCCTGGCTAGGATGACACCACGTTGAGCGCGCCTGCAAACAACAACAACAACAAGCGCCGCCGCGGCCACCGCGTCCTGCTTCTTCGAAGCGCCGCCGCCGCCGGTGGAGCCGCCTCCGTGCCCCTGGCCGTCCGGAGCGCCCGGCCGCTGGTGTATGTCGCGCCTGCCCAGGACGGGCTGAAGCCGGCGGCGGGGCCGGACCGCAGGCGCCGAGCAGGGCGAGGGCGGCCAGGGCAGCCGCCTGCCGCCGAGCCCCGAGCGCCGCTGCTCGAGGAAACGCTTTCGGCCGGGAGCTGCGGCCGCCGCCAGCAGTTTTCATGTTTGGGATTCAGGAGAATATTCCGCGCGGGGGGACGACCATGAAGGAGGAGCCGCTGGGCAGCGGCATGAACCCGGTGCGCTCGTGGATGCACACGGCGGGCGTGGTGGACGCCAACACGGCCGCCCAGAGGTACGTACCGGCCGCCCCCGCGCGCCCCGGTCCCGGCCCCGGCCCGGCCCGGCCCCCTCCGCCGGCCGGCGCCGCGCTCCTCACCGGGCCGCTGTCTCTTTCCTCCCGCAGCGGCGTGGGGCTGGCGCGGGCGCACTTCGAGAAGCAGCCGCCTTCCAACCTCCGGAAATCCAATTTCTTCCACTTCGTGCTGGCGCTCTACGACAGGCAGGGGCAGCCGGTGGAGATTGAAAGGACCGCTTTTGTGGACTTTGTGGAGAAAGAGAAAGTAAGTGCAAACATACGATCACACCCTCTCTCTTTCTAGAAGTGGGAGTCAGGCGGTGCCGGCGCGCGGGGGTTCAAGTGCCCCCCTCGGCGGCGGGCACGGCTCCGCCAGGCCACCCCGCCGCCGCCGCCGCCACGTGCGGTCGCCCGGGACCGCTGAGGGCTGGGCAACTTCTCTGCGCCCTCGGACTTACTCGGGGCGAGGAGAACGCTGGGTTTCCAGCAGGAAAGTGACATCACCGCGCTGCTCCGAGCTAGGAATCCTGCCATGTGTGAGGCCGAGAGCCTCGGTCGCGGAGGGGGACCGAGCGCGGTGGCCGCGCCTGACACCGATCGCACTAAATGCAATTATTTATCGTTACTTTCAGGAGCCAAACAACGAGAAAACCAACAACGGCATCCACTATAAACTCCAGTTATTGTACAGCAACGGTAAGTGCCTGCTGCGTGCTCGCCGCCCCTGCAACGGCTGGCTCTCCTTTTCCGCGCTGGTGAAAGGACATAAAGATTTTGAGATTAAAATGACATGGATGTAAACACGAAATCTTCTCATGGCATAGAAGGAAAACAAAACATAAACGATCAATAAGTCGATGGCACTTCACATGATTAACCGGTGGGGCTTGAAGTAGAAAGTAAAAAAAAGATCGATACGGGCTCCAGCAGAACATCACTTTTAAGTGACTTTTTTCAATTTTGCAAATTAATGTTAATTATTGGGATGGGGGTAGCTCCATAAATGGAGCATAACTTACTTCCTGTGAACGTTTTTTTTTTTTTTTTTTTTTTAAATCCTCGAGAGGCATTAGCAAGAGTTCAGCCTCTCACTCAGTTTCCATTTGGTGCTTTTTCTTTTCTAAAAATAAACGACCACATGGGCCCACCGCGCACAGCCACCAGGCCTGCTCTCCACCAGGCAAATTCCTTGCACCTTGAAATGCAAACCCTAAGAGTCTTAAGGTTCTTAATTAAGAAAGGAAAAAAAAACTAAGCGAGAAGTGGTGGGGTTCTCTTTCTCCCTTTCAAAGGGATTGCCTAAGTTTTGCTGCATCACCGTGGCAGCAGTCCTGAGTTACAGACTTCCTGTGCCCCGTGTGCCCTCCCCGAGGTGCAGCACTCAAATCCTGATGAGAATTTGTCTCTGTTTTTTGCAGGAGTCAGAACAGAGCAAGATCTGTATGTTCGCCTCATAGATTCAATGACCAAACAGGTGAGAAAGTTTATGCCTCTGCACGAGTTTTCACTGCTGGGCCTGGGTTGTCCTGGGCTTCAGAGGCAAGGGCTCTGATAAATGGATCTCATGTATTTGTTTTCCATTGAGCTTCCTTGACATGCTAATGAGAATTCCATATTTACTGGAATGAATGAAGCGATTGGTAAAATAGTTTATGTTGTCATTAGAACAGGACATATATGCTTTATTAAATGTCTTCTGATTGGAATCATATTCTGTCTTAATTATGGTAATTAATATTTGACAGAAAAATTTCAAGATGTCCCCCCTCTTGTTTATTTTTTAAATGCTTCTCTCTCTGCTAGGAATCAGTTCATTTGGATTTTTTTTTTTTTTTCTATAACAAAGGCAGCTAACTCCTAAGCCCATCGAGTTGGACTTGATTAGTTCATTTTTTTTTTCTCCTTTCCAGTGTGATGGTCTAGTAACACGAGACGTTTATTTGGATTTAAAAGTTAAATGTGTTGGGGTGAAAAGTCACCTTGTTCTCCTCTAGTCCATCTTCACCTCGCAGCTCCCCAGCTCCATAATTCAAACTCCAAGCTCCAGGGGTCACTCCAACTCGTCCACTGCTCTGCCCCCTCTCCCACCCTCTGTCATACCTTGTAAATAACATAATTACAAGCAGTTCCTTATTAAATTATTTAACCTGTCTTGGTCAACTTTTCCGATGATAACTATTGGCTATCAGTAATGTGATTAAGTGGAGAAAAGTGCGTCATTGCTTTTTGACATTGTGCAGTCTCTGGCTGCTGGTTTTGTGCTGGGTGGCGTGTTGTTGTTGATTTGGTTGTTTTAAAGATTTCCCGCTGCCCCCATTTTCTTAAAATAGAGTGTTGTGGTGGGGAGGGGGGCAGGTCCAGTTTGTAGATTAAATCCACTCCGCACAGATTGTTTTAAAATGTACTTCCAAGCTGGACTTCACACTTAGAAATGAAAGTGGCTTCTTCGGTTTTGATGCTAACTTTAAGAATTGTGAGCCAAGTAAAGGAGAGCTCGTTGGGGCTTCCTGCAGCCCAGCACATATGCCTCCCACTCTCTGCATGCAATTAGTTTGCAGCTTTTATTTCCCCTTTAAAAAGTTTGTCCTTACCTAGGTAGCAAGGGTGTTAGATTTTAATGCCTGCAGCGGTAAAACTGTGTGGTTTTCTCTTAGAGTAAAACAGATCTGACAGGTAAACTAAGGTCTTTCTGACAAAGACAGAGGCGGTGTGCCTTTCTGTAATTATTTCACTCGATTCAGAGAAGCCTCTGGAACTCGGGCTGCTGGTTGACAGGGTGATTTTATTTCCTTTGTATATAATGGCTAATGTTTTCGGAAATCGCTATAGTCTAATTAAGAGGCTTATGTCGGCAGCGCTAAGTTTCTCTGTTGTTGCATAGAGAAGGAGGCTTCGTTTTAAGTACACTTTTATTGTTCATTTAGCCTTGTACCTTTGCAGTATAAACAGGGCTGAAAATAAAGGCATTTAATCTCCTCTCACTGACGGGCATGGAGGGGGAAAAAAAAAGGAAAGAAATAGCCCAGTAACTGATCAAAGAGTCAATGGCGCTGAACCGACAGTTTATGGATTTCTGTTTGTGCTACAAAATAAAAAATAAATCAAATATAAATACGGGGATCCATCGGAGGACAAGCCACTCTCTCAGAAGCGCTGGTGCCCGCCGCGGCCACGCGCCCTGCAGCCCCCAGGCGGCCCGTTGGCCTGCGGTGACACCCATCACTTCTGTGGTTCTGAGCCGGGTCCAGGCGGGAGGCTGGCGGGTGAGCAGGGTTCCCGGGGAACCTTCCCTCTTCCTAGGAGGGCAGCCCGGCGCTTTCACCAGAAAGAGCTTTGTCCGCCTGGAAGTAGAGGAAAGTGTCAGAAGTGCCCGGGGAGGTAGGAAGGAATTTCCAGATAATTTTCAGGGGTGGGGGCGGGAACCGGCGAGAGGACATCCCTCCCCCTTCCGTGGAATTTTATGCCGGGAACTTGGAGCTCCCAGCCCCGGCCTCCCGCCCCTCCCCCAGTAGACTTTTTTTCCTCCCCCCCTTTTCTGTATTTTCGCGATGGAGGCCCAGTGGAGGTGGAGGCCCAGCCCTGGCGGGCGGCTCCCGGTCCCCAGCTCGGTTTCCCAGCGGCGGAGCCGGGCTGAGCGCGGCGGTGAGCGCACCTAGGGCTTCGCACCATCTGGCGGAGCCTCTGCTCAAAACCCACCCGAGCGTGCGCGCAGAGACTGCCTTTTTACCCGAGAAAAATCATTGTTAGCAGTTTCAAAATAAACACCAGATTGGCCATTAGCACTTTCTTTCCAAATATCATCCGGCGAGGAGCACGTGGCCGCGCGGGCTCGGGCGCCCGGGGGCCCCGGCACTCCTGCGGGGCGCTGGCGACGACCCGGCCCACGTGCGGCTGCTGCTCCTGGACCTCCCGCCCGGGCTTCCAGGCCGCCAGCAGCGTGCAGAGCGCAGGTCGCTGCCTACCACTCAGGGCGGCCCCGGGGGCTCGGGACGGCGGCGGGTCCAGGGCGGCCTGCTCCCCGCCGGCGTCTGGGTTTGGAACGCGGGAAGCCGCGGGGCGCCAGACTTGCCAGAGCCCGGGGAGCGCGCATGGCAGGGCGGGCGCGGCCCTCGGCCCTTGGCAAACTGCTCCTGCGCCGCTACCATCCTTCCCGGCTTCTTTAGCCTCCGGGCGTTCTGATCGGCCTCTCCCAACAGGCAGATTGGAACTCGGTGTAGACAATGGCCCGAGGACGCGGCCTGGCGGCGGCGCGGAAACCCGAAGAGGCCCGGGAGCCCCGGGTGCCGGGGTCGGTGCCAGCGGGCTCTCGCTCTTTGCGCCCGGGCCTCGGCCTCACTCACCCAGCCCTCCCCGAGGCCCGAGCACAGTCGGCGCCTTCCCTGCAGCTGAAGGCCCCTCGCAGGCCTGGCGGGCGCCCGGAAGAGGAGGCTGGGAGGCAGGGGAGGGAGAAGCCACCGCGGCCTAGCCCAGCTCCGAGGGTGACCCGGTCGGGAGGGTGGCCGAGGGGGGGCCGTGTCGCCTCCCCTCGAGCGTGGTGCACCTGCTGCCAGCCAGGCCTGCAGCGCCCGGGGCGATTTGGCGCCAAAGGCGCGGGCGCCGCGTAACCCCAGCCTCTGCTTGTCCCTCGCGCAGGCCATCGTCTACGAGGGCCAGGACAAGAACCCGGAGATGTGCCGCGTGCTGCTGACCCACGAGATCATGTGCAGGTGAGCTGCGGGCGGCGGGCGGCGGGGGCGCGGGCTGCCTCGGCGCCAGCTGCGTCTACAAAGGACGCCGCGTCCAGGCGCCGCCACCCCGCCCAGCTCCGGGAAAGGCATCGATTGAAATGTAATCGGCCCGAGGCCGCGCGCCGGGCCGCGGAGGAGCCCGCGCTCCTTCCCCCCAGCGCTGACGATCGACGCGACCGGCTGCTCAGCAGAGCGGATTAATATGTGGGCCGTGTCGTTGCGATGTAGTCAAAAATGAAAACAGGTCTGGGTGATGCATCTGTCCGCGGTGCCGGAGGAGTCAGAGATCACTCGGAATCATTTTACTACTTCCTTCTCAGGCGCTCGCATCCTGAGATATACAATTGTCTGTTATTGATAAAAAGGAAACTCTTTTGTACTTATTATAGCGCGCGTGTATGTGAGAATTGGATTGTGATTCTGTCAGTTAACCTCTTCCCTAGAGCAGCGATGCAGCGTTCATGTTGTTGTTAGATAGCGTGCCCGTTACTTGAGATCTCTGTCAGAAGAGCAATTTCCCACCTGTTTTTTTCTAACTACCACAAGAGTTTCACCCCTACATGGCAAATAAAAATGCATCATTGACTTTGTATGTGTGGCATGTGAAATATAGTTGCAAGGAATAGCAAGGAAAGCGTTGCAGGCTTCCAGGCTACAGTAGCAGGCCGCGTACTCTGAGGGGCATACTCCGCCTGGCTATGATGCCGGTTGCCTAAATGCCATTTCTGAGCAGACATATTGTTACAGCACTAATATACAAAAGCTGACTTTTTCTCATATCAGGTAATAAATATAAATTACAACCAATAAAGTGGAATTTCTTTATTATCCACTTCTGCATGTACTGCAATTAACATAGAAAGCGCACAGATGTGATTTAAGCTCTAAGTGGAAGACTGTAGACTTTCTTTAATCACTTTAGCTGTCAGCTTTAAAAGGCTTTATATACTTTGCCTACCATATGGTGTTAATTTAGCTAATTTAGACATGTAACCATTATACAAGTATGCTTTTTTAAAATGCAAGAAGCATAACATTTTTGTTTCATTTCTGCTTTAATTAAAGTTTCAATAACAGAGTTAAGGTAGGCTTAAAGAAGGAACAATAGAAGTTTGTGATAGATGGATGCATGCTTTTGTGGTTATAATTAATAAATGCCCAAAAGAAATATTGGTTGAAGGTGGCATCTTGCATCTTTTCCAGAAATAACAGCTTGACAATTAGAGGTAAACAAAAGCTGAAGCTGTGAAAAGTTATTCCCAAGCCTCCTGCCTTCCCTTCTCCTCAGTTCATTGCAAAGACAAACAGCGACATGTTTTCCATATTTTAGCATCACCATTTATATAGTACTCTGGTTACCCTCCTGGTATTAACAGATAGGTTCAACTTTGCTCCTTCCGGTAGAAAGTTACATCATAAGTTTAGCCGCAGAACACGTGAACTCACTGGGTTTAAATTCTCCAAACTGCGTTGGTAGGTTAACTATTTTCTTGACTCCTACCGCTTCATTGTCAGACGTCAGAAAAAACAAAACAAAACAAAAAAAAACAAGTCGGGCATAAAAGGGTGAAATGCATATTAAAACCACTGTTTACAATTGCTCCACAGCCGGTGCTGTGACAAGAAAAGTTGTGGCAATAGAAACGAAACGCCCTCAGACCCTGTAATCATTGACAGGTAAGGATGACTTCTTTATTTTTCAAAACAAAACCGCAGCAGCAACAAAACCTTTTGCCTTGCTTGGTTTCCAGTTGCTCCATATTTTTGAGGCTGGTGTTGAGCCCATCTTGTGCATTGCACCATTTGTTGTCCGCGTGTGTTACCATGCACAGGTGGGTTGACTTGGAAACCTGGTGGCTCACTCTGTGGGGATTCAGTAATTGCTTGTGAGTTGTCAAGGGAAGCAGTTTCATCTGCCACTGCTCTCACTGTGAGGAGCACTTTATGCCTAGAGAGTTTCTGGCTTTAAACCTAGAGATATGTCATAAAATGCTTTTTGCTAATTTGTTAACAAGTATTTCATTTTTACATTATTTTTATCTCTGATGATAGTTGAAGTTGAGACTTGGGTGATGTTACTGTTGTAATTGTTGCCCAGTGTTAGAATGAATTTAATCTGCTCTCAATTAGTTGCAAAATGTGTCCTAATTTTTTTCCAATTGTGGCTGTCGTTTTATGTCAAGTAGCAAATATGTAACTAACAAACCAAAGTTGTTATAATTGAAACTAATTACACATGCTGGTTACATGCTCCAACATTAATTTTCATAACTCGATTAGCTGTATGCATTCTTTACATTTGCTGCTCCTCATCTTGCTGTTTCTCATATTCCTTGGGCAATGCTGCATCCTTTTAAGATGCCAATCAGCAGCCCTAATGGTGCTAATGTGCATTTGGCATAGCTTTAGTTGAAGCAACAAAAACACCACCATCCTCCTCGCCCAGCCCTCTCCCAACTCGCTGGGTTTCGGTGCCTTGCAGGAGAGGAGGATTTCTTTCTTCTCAACAGTGGGTAGCAGCAAAAGGCCCAGTGTGTGATTGACTGCAGATTTTGAAATTGGTACCCAAATTGAATAAATGTTAGACGTGTACATATGACACCAGTTTTGTGAAGCAGAGGTTTGGACGGTTTTGAAGAGGGGTTGAATTTCCGCAGCTTTCATTACAAAGTTATCTTTTGATCATGAACTTTGCTGTCCAGTGTCTGAAAAATTAAACCCGGAAAACTCCATGAGTTAAGCCTAAAGAAATATGCGCCACCAGTGGAGAGCAATGCTAATGTTTAACTAGCTGGAATAGCTGTTTGCTTAGTGGAGAATGTTCGGTATCTGACAGAAGGGACAGCTCTCTTATTAGTAATCAAATAGGGTTGACCAGTTGTGGCCGTCACTCAGGCAATTGAGAACAAGTTCAACACTTTATAGAACTCGAACTATGAAAATCAATATAATTATATCTGTCTTTAGTGTTGTGGCTATGGAAATCATATAGCCTTAGATTATTGTCTTGTAACTGAATTTATTTTATTTTTTTGATTGGCTAGAAGTGTTTGAGCTATTGGAGTCTTGTCTGAGTATAAGTTGCTTGAAAAGGCAGTGCATGTTGGCTTTGAATGAAGGATTGTGAAAGTGTTTCATCTTTTGAGTGATGCTTTAAATTTTAAAAGAGGACTTGTTTATAAAGTGTGAGATTTCTAGCATGCCACAGTGATGAAGTAGCCATGTTGATTTGGCTAACATTTTAGATGCTGTGTTTTCCTTTCAAAATCACTTTGGATTTGTGCAACATTCAATCCTTTATTGACTATTGATACTGAATAACTTTTAATACTCAGTTTTTATCATATGGTGGGAAATATTTTCCCCAGATATGCAGAAATATGTTCCTTAATTCTTGTCTGAGAGAATGTTTTCTTATATTTGGTCAATTAAAATATGTGCTAAGATTACTCGTATTTCTATAACCTAAGAGAAGTGTGTGATTATTTGATATTCTAGAAGCATGAGAGGAGGGGAAAAAACGTAAAAACGTTTGGTTAATGGGTTTACCATGTTTATTTGAATAAGGAGGATTGAAGCTCCATTTACGCCTGGCATAAATGCTTTGGAGGTCTTAATTATTGATGAAAAATCTGCTCTGCTTCTAAATTCAAAGATCTGGCAATTTTATAGAAATTTTAATCACCGTCTATTTTAGTGATTTTAAGGTAAGGATAGTTTTATGAAATGACAAGTACAATGTACATTTTTAGCATTCTTAAGAAAGCTGTCACTTAGAATGGCAAAGTGCTATTAGCATTGTGTTGTCTGCTGTAAATCCCTGTGAAATGATTGCAGTATTGGCACTGTCTTCAGCTTAAGGCATATTTCTATGTGAAAAAAAAATGAAGAATTTAGTGTTCACTAGGGTAAGTTAGATTAATCAGAGAAAGAAGAATACCTATAGGAGGGCATTCTCTTTAGAGTGATACCGTCTTTTGCAACTGAGATGCGTTTCAGTTTCATAATGATAATCATTTCTGTGAGGTGTATGTTGCCTCTGAAAATTAGTTGCTTATGTTGAGTTTCTAGCCTGTGTTTTCTCTCGAGTATTGCAGAATAAAATGTCCCACCAGACTGAGGAGTCAGTTTCCAGGTCCCCATCAGCAGTGTCTCATTTGGTTAGTTGGCTTAAAAAAGAATTATATACAACGTGCTTTGCCGGCTCCTTGTGGCCTTTGGATACATTTAGCAGGTTCTGACCAGATAAGGCATATTTGTCCTGAGGATATAAACCAATAATTCCAACCTGAATTGAGATCAATGGGTCCACATTTGTTCCAGCCCACACCGAGCCTCTTCCGGCACGTTGAGACTGCTTTTCTGTGTTATGAGAACAGAGAAGTAAGCTCCTCGCTCTGGCAGGGTAATCACATTCTATAGACTCTGATGCCTTAAATCAATTAATTACACAATTTAGTTCAGTTATCTTTCAGAAGCATTAAATACTTATGAATGGCATGAAGACCCTTCAGAGAAGAAAAAAAAGGGGAGGGAAAGTGAGGCTGTTTCCCATTACAAAGCCCTTTTCATGTACTGCAAAGGTTTCACTTATGTTAACTGTTTTCTTTCTCATAAAACATTGCTAGAGAAACAATTTTTTAATAGCACCATGGTTATAACTATATGCAGTGTATTTAAAACAATATAACAACTTATGGAGCAAAGGAGAAATATAACATTGTAAAGTAAAAAGCATGGTCAATAAAGAGACACTACAGGAAAAAAAAGTATCTATGGTAAATTGTGTGACCTGCAGAGAACCAAATGCAAGTAAAGGAAGAGTGCACACACACGAACACACATGCACACCTTCTATACATATGTATATACACATGTGCCCATGCACACACACGCATGATTTTTAACGGTATCGCTGAAAAGGATGGGAGTATCATTTTCCTCGTGGAATAATGTTTTCTGGGAAAACACAAAAGCAGATGGTCTTCATTAGGAACACCCATTGTCCACATATCCCAACTATGAACAGATAAATCTCTCCTGTTTCACCCGTGCATTCCAAGGGCTGCAAATGATTCCAGGATGTCGGTGTAGCTGCTAAGCCAACACCGCACTCTGGCTCCCATCACTTGCTCGTGCCATCCCGGTCTGTTTCCCAAGGAGCTCTGGAAATGCCCAGGAAGGTGCATACTCCTTTTCTCCCCCTCTTTGCTTGGGCTGGGTGGATGGAAGGTGCGAGGTCCAACTGTTGCAAAGTGGGGAGGCCGACTGTAGGGGCTGTGGCTGCCCAGGCAGGCCGGGCACATGCAGGGGCTCCATGCAGCGCTGGGAGCGGGCTCGGCGGGGCGGTTCCAGATGGCACCATCTCCGGCGTCCCACTCGCTGGCATCTCTGCGGCAGGCGGTGCCCCCTCCCCAATCAATCTGGCGTTAGTCTATAGAGTTGGGAGACTTATCATTCCAAGTCTGTCCTACTTTCCTGTCTGGAAGCCAGACATCTGTTTATCCCATTTTCTTTCATACAGAGTTTGGAATTGCTTTAGTTTTGGTGGGGGTGGGGGGGGAGGATGAAGTTTTGTCATATTTAACAGCTGTTATAAAATTTCAACCCTGTGGGCTCTGAAAATACTTTTCAGCTGACCTCAGATTTTTATGCGTAATTGACGTTGCGTTGTAGGGAAATATTATTTGCTTAACCTTCCATTGTCTGTGATTTCACATTGTCTTTAGTCAGATGACCTGACTACCCCCATTTCAGCTCTGCACCCCCCGACCCTGCACAGCCACACTTTGATTCATACGCGCGCTTTAAGTTTACACCTCTAAAGTGACTGTGGAATGGTAGCCCAACGATTGGAGATTTTTTTTTCAGTCTTTCTTTTTTCTTTCTTTCTTTTTCTTTCTTGCTTTTCTTTCTTTCTTTCTTTTTTTTTTTTTTTTTTTTAGTCAACAGTGTTTCCTTTCACTTCCTGTCACAAAGGTCAAAGAGAGCCGACCTTTGCTGGCAGTCCTGCTCACTGAATTATTCATGGGATTGACTTTTTGTCAGCACACACAGTTGTGCTCTGGGACATTTTATTCATTTACCTCATTTAAAGCGCCTTTCTGCACCTGTTCAAGTATTAATATCATGTAATTTGGGCCTAATGCCGATTTTGCTGAACACTCATTATATTTTTTATTAGCTATATTTCCAAACGATTATGTATGATTATTACCAAGCCTTACAAACAGCACCGGGTTATTCCCTAGCCCTTTACATCTTCTTGTCAGGTTGTTTTCAGAAGCGGGGAGGATAAACATTTGACCAGTCCCAATGTTTTTATTCCTACTCCATCTCCAAGCAGAGAACTTAAAGCTTCCTCCCTCATGGCTTTGCACGAGCGTGATTAAATCCAACTCCGCTGAAGCTGTACAAATGCCAGCATTTATAAGGTCAACGCTTTTGTTAAAAATGCTATGTAAATGAGGATCTGCAAAAAGGGACATTAAATAAAATTAAATTCATTGTCTTCTTTAATGTCATTTACATTTTGGCTAAGCCTCGGCCTGTCAAGGAGGATTTTAAAAATAATATTAATTACACATCATTTAGGGATCCAAGGTTTTCTATTCAGTAGCATTTGGATAACCTGCAAAACGGAGACTGTTTATTAACTTCTTAAATGACAACTCGTC